AACTAAAAGTTTAGTACTAAAGTTTAGTATTGATTTGCACAATCGGTTTTATATTCAAACATTTAAAGAATAATTCTATTCTATTAATCGCTTCTTTCTATTTTGAAGCAACAATTTTGTAGAGATTGGAATTTAAAATAATCTAATGATGTCAGATTTGTTCAAATCGGTGGATTAAACAGTAGATCGTATTTAACCTGTATGAATAAATCTGTAGTTACAAATGTAATGTAATGATTTATGCGTTAGGCTAAGGCCTTTCTGCACTGCGAGCAGCTTGATCTATTGTACACCCCTTTGTATTTAAACATTCAGTATGTCGAGGAATCGAATCAACTCCTTCGAAAGAAGTTGAAAGCCTTCATCCTCTGGTTGATATGTACATAAAATTTTGTTTCTTCTGTGGCCTAGTGCATCAAAGTTGGTAAACAGAAGTTGGTAAACAGAATCTGCAAATATTTATATCGAATATAGCTACTTTGAGTAGGTGTTTTTTTGCAGACGACGTGGTTTATTAGTGCACGAGGCAATGACTTAAGACTCTTCTTGTTTAGGTTGATAACGATGTTTGCTCTTTTGCCATCAAAATTCAAAACACAGCTTTCGAACTTTCTAGTGAGCGGACGTGTTTTTAAGCCGGTCTCGGAAAAATTTAAATTTCAGTATAAAAACAAGTAAATAACAATCACTTTTAAAAGAATAACTTTTGTTATTAATACAAAAATAAAAAACAGAAAATTCTCGGACAAAAAAACAATTCCTAAAAGTTTAAAAGTGCATAAAATATTAATTTGAAAATAGCGCGCGCTTTTTCGATTTTTGTTGATTTTTGCACAACTTTAATATTAAAAAAAACTCAAATAGCTGACAGAGACAGCAAATTATTTTCTAAAGCTCAAAATAAAAAAAGTGAGCAAGCATTCAAACAAAATATCAGTGCGGTTTTGTGAATATATAAACAAAACAAAAAAGTGCTGATAGAGACAGCTAGTATTTATTACAAACGTGTTCCACAAAAGCTGTAATTGGAAGCCCGCAATTCATCACAACACAACACAACATCAAAACCAACATACGTGCTAACATTGGATTTTGGAATTTAAAGATATTTATTTTATTAATTATTATTATTTTTTTATTATTATTATTATTATTATTATTCTTAGTATAATTATTATTCTTTTTTCTCTCTTTTTGTTTTTATTTATATGTTTAATTATTAGAATATAAAGTATAATATTTTACACATTTTCATTTTATTTTTACATCTTCATTTTTATTTTTTTATTATTTTCTTCTTTATATTAATTTAATTTAATTTTACTTATATTTATATAGTTAATTTAATTTAATATCAATTAATATTAATAGTAGTTAAATTAAGTAAATCTTATAGCACACCTGCTATTTGCATATATAACCACGTATGCAAATGAGCAATCAAAATCTAGTAAGAAGACATACGATAAGCATTCCAAGTAAACGTAATGCTTATTTGGTAATAGACGCATCGAATACGTTGCCTCTGAAAACTACACAAACTGACAAAAGCTTGTCAAACATTGCACCTTCAGCAACTTCGCTTGCATTTTCCGACTTAGCGAGTCCAAAAAATAAAATAAAGGTCCAAACAGGCATGGAACGCTATGTAAATATGAAACGCAAACTTAGTCCTCAAAAAAGCAATTCAAAAGGTGCTAAAATAACTAAAACCATCAAAGATAGTGCAACTACAAACATTCTTTCTGGCAATAGATTTGCTGAATTAGCTGAAACTACAGATGAAGCTAATCAGCCTATTAACAAAAATTTTAAACCGCCTCCAATCTACTTGCGTGAACGCAGCTCAAATAAGCTAGTTACAATCCTTGCAAGTCTGATTGGAAATAATACTTTTCATATTGTTCCTATAACTAGGGGCAATATACACGAAACCAAAATCCAAATCGACACTGAAAACAATTTTAGAGTCATAACTAAATATTTCGAAGACAGCAAAAAAAATTACTACACATACCAACTAAAGAGTAGTAAGGGCCTTGTTGTCGTAATTAAAGGTATCGAATCAGATGTAGAACCCATTGAGATAACAAATGCCCTAAGCGAAAAAGGCTTTAGCGCTAGAGCAGTAATAAATATTGTTAACAAAGATAAAATCCCACAACCTATGTT